TTCAAACCCTTCCTCCAAATGGGCCGCAGGGGAAGCGGTTTTCACAATGGCTTGATTAGGTAGGTCGGTAGGTAGGTAGGTAGGTAGGTAGGTAGGTAGGTCGGTCGGTCGGTCGGTCGGTCGGTCGGCAGGCAGGGAGGTAGGTAGGTAGGTAGGCAGGCAGGCAGGCAGGCAGGCAGGTAGGTAGGTAGGTAGGTAGGTATGTATGCATGTAATACATCTGTAAATATGTGCGTGTGTATTTGTATACATACATGGTCACCCAAAAATAGCAAAGGGTTGATACTGAGGCTCTCAGCTCCGCCCAGCCTAGCCCTCTTGTTCGTTATACATTCTTCTAATTACTAGCCCTATCTTTTGGGCACCGACGAGTATATCATAAACCTTCTCAGTTCCTTAGAACTAAACCCTAGAACCCTAAGCCCAAACCCCCGAAGCCCATAGATCTACGGCCTCTCCAGAAGGTGTGTGTGTGTGTGTATGTATGTATGTATGTATGTATGTATGTATGTATGTATGTATGTATGTATGTATATATATATATATATACTCATGCCCACATTCTTCATATTCATATGATGCTTCAATATCACCACTGTCACCGTATCTGGTCTGATCCCGGCCTCGCCGACGGTCTGCGATGAGCTGTGCGCTCTCGCTCGGGACGACTCGGCATCTCCTGAGTGCGTCTTTTCCAGATGTCATGTACAAGTCTGTCGCTCGTTTTCAGGATTGTACAGGGAAACTCTCTTCGGTTAGCCTGCGATCCACCCCCTTTACTAAAAGGACAGGTGGTCATCTAGAAATCTGGGGGAGGGCGAGGCTGCGCTGCCTGTGGCCCCGGCCCACTCCACCACTGGAGGCCGCATCACGAAGCTACAGGCAGGCTCGCGAGGCTCGCGAGGCCCGGGCCTGCAAAAGCACTTCGAGGATAGCCGGAAGCAAAAAAGCGACTCTCAACACTTCTGCTCTGAAGTTCCCCTCCTCAAGGAGGCGAGGATGCGAGCTTCCGCACGAGCGAAGAGGGAGGGCGCCTCTCAACACGAAGATGGCCCAGAGGCCCCCAGCTCTGTGAGCCCCACCTCCGGCCCCTGCATCGCGCTTCGATTTCCCGGAGACCTCGACCTGCAGACGAAGTTCAGCCAGAAGAAAAAAAAGACGAAAACGGTCTGAGATCCCAGATTGCAGCACCTCGACGATCGGCGGCCGGGAAAGCCCTGGCCACCCTCCTCCTGGCCACGGAGCTGCTCTGCTGGGCTCTGCTGTCGCCGCGGGTCGCCGGGCCGCGTGCCACTGGGCCTGCCGGTCCCTTCCTTCATCTCGACGTGCTTGCGCGGCTTGCGCGGCTTGCGCGCTGCGCAAGTCCTGCGCAAACAAGGCCACAAGGCCCGTGCTGCGACCTGCTGCGCGACCGTCCTCGCTGGAGGACGCGGTGCCCTCGCAGTCCCCCAGACCCAGTGGCCGGCCACGGGGGAAATCCAAGAAGCGGCACCTGCAAGCGAGCGACACGGTCTCCGCATAGCTTCTTGAAGCGGCCGTGGCCGTCGAGGCTCTGGGCCTGCGCTCCCTCTCCAGGCGCTCCTCGCGCAGGGCCCTCAGAGCGGCCTCGGCTGAGCTGAGAGCTGAGAGAGCTGAGAGAGAGCTGAGAGAGAGCCGATGGGCCTCTGCATCGAAGCTGGGGAGCTTCTGCTGCTGGGAGCGCTCCTCGTCCTTCACCTCGTCCGACAGGAGAGCGACGAGCGGCGAAACACGCGCCGTGCAGTGGCCTCCGCCTCGGCCTGGGCCGCCTGAGCAGAGGAAAAAGGGGCCGAGACTCGAGGCTCTGAGGAGCAGAGGCTGGCCTGGTCTCTCCCCGGGCTCAAGCTCCTCAGCTCCGCTCCGCTCCGCTCCGCTCCGGCCCCGAGGTCCCAGGCCCAGGTCACCGACTAACCCCTTTGCTGTGCCTCGCTCGCAAGGTCCCAGGCAGGCCGATGGGCACCTCCGTCATCCTGCAGAGACAGGAAGAGCAGGAAAAGGCAAGAGGGGGCCGCTTCCTATGAGCTCCCTTCAGAGCCAACGCCGTGCCTGACAAGCTCCTCGAGATGCGGCCACAGGGAGCCTTCCGACTCGATGAGCTTCTAAGAGCAGACTCCGCCGTCTCGACGCGGCGTGGCTCCCTGAGGTTCCGACGCTCCGGGCGGGGCAGCGCGGGCAGCTCGGCCTTGGAGCCTGCAGGCAAGTGCCCCGCACCGCAGTCCCCTCCAGTCCCCTCCGTCCTCCCCCCNNCCCCCGCCCCCCCCCCCCGCCCCCACTCGGTGTGTGTCTCTCTCCCTGCCGGTTGTCGGTTCGGCCTCGACACAAGGCGCCAGGGAGCCTGGGCCTCGGCGGTTCTTTTTCGCGTGCCCGGCCGCATTTTGTTGGGGGCGAGGCCTGTAGATCGGGACATGGCCGTGGGGCGGCGCCAGCACCGCCACCTCAACAGAAACAGGCAACAGCTCTCGTTCTTGCACAGCACCCATTCTCACCTTCTCCCCTTGGAAGTCGCGCTTGAAGGCCTCCTTGGCGGACAAAAGCGGGCTGAGAAAGGAGACACCGGAAAGGAAGACCCTCTTTGTTTAAGGCAGATGCCCTGACATCCAAGAGGCACGCACCCGCGTCCCAGGCAACCTCCCGGGCTTGGCCAGAGGTACCTGCGCAGTACAGCGCAAATGAGACACCCGGCGGGTGCGCTCTGCTGCTCCGGCCTGGTGCACAAAGGGCCATCTCAACCGTGACTCATGGGGCTGTGCACTGCTGAAACATTTTACTCCTTTGCTTGGGATGACTGACTTTCATGTGTGCTGCTGCGAAGGATGGAAATTCCTGCGACCGAAACAAGACGGCAGGTGCCACCACTGAGACTCCTCTTCCGTTTCGGCTGTCTTGCGCTGCTTTTGTCGCGTATTTTTTTTCACCTTCCGTGCAGACTTCAAGAAGAGGTAGGCTCCGACAGGTAGTCCCATCGTAGTCACGCACATCTGCACCACCATCCACCTGGCAGACTGGCACACACACTCACACTGACTCACACTCTCTCCGGGGGTGATCGAATCAACAACTCGTGACAGACCGTCTGACTCCCAAGGTCAGGCTGTCGAATGTCAGCCAGCTGGCCCAGACCTGCGTCATCACTGGCAGTTGCTGATAGGCTTCTGTAGGCGCATCCGCCTCTGCAGTGGCCACGACCAGGAAGAGTATGGCGGAGGCAATGCGCCGAAGAAGCTGAAGAGAAGGCCGTTTGCCTTGATCTATGTTGGCCGTTGCCCGAAAGTCGCTGTCGAGTCTTTTGGCTCTTCGTACTGATGCCGGGTAACTCAAGAGGGCGATGTACCGAAGAACATCTGCAAGCGCCCAGCCACCCAGAAGAACCTGGACCAGGAAAAAAGGTGCAGGAGCATGCTGCTACTCCATGGACAAACCAATCATTGCAATGCCGTCCTGCCTGGTTCAGTGCCGCGTTGTCCAGCTTTGGAATCGCAAAGACGGCGATTGTGGTGCGGAAAACACAAATCCCAAGCCCGAGCACTGTCTGTTCGACTCCCTTCATGCCTCATTCGACTGGACGGGTGCAAAGTCTAAAAAGAAACCAAGGCTTGCGAATGAGAAGAACATAGCTCATGCGGCCCATGGAGCTTCGCACAACACAGTGTCTGCGGTATGCGATGATCGCAACCTCCGCGTAGCAGTATGTCTGAAGTGCCCCAAATAGCGACAGTGCCCGCCGGGCTCGGAGTCCTCCAGCTACAGCCAATGCTGACGTTGAGGCTGGGACCCGGCCACCCACAGGGGTCGGGCAAGCGGTCAGTCAACTACACCCGACTCAAGCTGATCTTTCTTTTTCATTTAACCCAGCGCATCCCTCATCTTGCCAAAGCACCAAGCCCTTGTTCACACTTTGCCCCCCGAACTACAGCAGCGACGAACCGCATGCACTGCCTGACCACGAACACCTTACAGAATCAATGGCAGCACACCATTGGGCCCACCCAGATGACCAGGGGACCGTCAAGAGCCAGGAGAACACCAGTGCACCACAGAAGACCACGGTTTGGCCGAAATTCAGGAAAACGAGTAAAATGCTTCCCCCAAGCACTGGATATTCAAAACCACGGCCAAGATTGGCAGTACGCCTTCCCCCAAGTCCCCAAGTACTCAATATTATTTCGAAGCCTTGTACAAGGCGGCCCCTCGCGAGGCCAGGGGGGTGCGCGACGTGGGAACGCTAGAAAACTTCCGCTTACAGTTGAACATTAAGACTCCATGCAGACATCACGTGTATCACACTGTTTTGGGAGCAACTGTTTCCAAATTTGTGCTCGGCCCCATGCGTCCTTGGCCAGCAAGTTCATCGCGAGCCACAAGACCACTGCATGTGGGCAGCACGGAATGCAGCAACAGCCACGTCCAGCCCGCGAGAGCAATGGCATTCACGACTCGCAACCATGCCATCGCAAGGATCTGAAGCAGCTTTCTGACACGACCCCAACACAAGAGGCTACGGGTTTGATGAGAATGTGTCGAGACAAGCAAAGCGGTTAGGCGTTGAAAGGCGCGCATGGCAAAAAAGACATGACTGTAAGCTCCTGGAAGCAAACACCGCTCCAACGATTGATAAACCACCTGCGTCCCAATGGATTGCACATCCGAAGCAGTTGGAATCCCGACATCTCATATAGACAGCTTGGGCTCCTCTTCTTAGGTTTCAAGGTTTGTGGGTTAAGGGCCTAGAACTTATAGACTTATAGGGCTTAGGGCTTCGGGTCGCATCCTTGATTGACGAGGCCAGAACTGCCGGCAGCAGCAGATTTTCTTTTTGAATTCTTGCGGAGCTTCTCAGAGAGGCGCTGCTTCTTACAGCGCTTCATAGACCAGAGACCCCTGCCTACGGATTCGCCAGGCAGCTGCGGCTACGACCAGTGAGACCATGATGAAGCAGAACACGCTGGTCAGCCCGGCCTTCGTTGCGACCCGGCTCCAAGAAGGAAGCTTTGCTGGGAACTTGTAGTCCTCTATCAGCGAGTGCAGGATGCATTGCCGCGCAGCCAACTTGCCCTTCTTGTTCAACAACGCATAGTCCAAAGCATCCAAGTCTTCGCACCACGCACGCGGGGGGCAAACAGTGCAGTCTTCATCAGGGCATGAGGTGCCCGTAAAGACATTGTTGCTGGACGTGCTATTTATTTGGTCAGTCCAGGAGTCCAGGCACTGGTTGAAGACCGTGGCCCCGTTGAACATACTGTTGAAATCCCCCACACTGGATACATCCCAGGAATTCAGAGGCTGGTTGAAATCTGCAGCTCCTTCGAACATGCCTCGCATGCTGGTCGCCTGGGATGGAACCCATTTTCCAATGGGTTGGTTGAAGGCCTCCGCGTCTCTGAACATGAATCGCATGAGGGTCACGCTGGATACATCCCAGGACCCAACTTTCCCGTTGAAAGCTCGGCCGCCGTTGAACATGTTTGTCATATCGGTCACCTGGGATGTGTCCCATGACCCGATATCCTGGTTGAAGGCTCTTGTATTCGCAAACATGTTTGACATTGTGGTCACCCGAGGTGTTTTCCATGAGCCAATGTCCTTGTTGAAGGCTGTGGCGCTACTGAAGGTGAAGGACATATCTGTCACCTGGGATGTCTCCCAGTTTCCGATCTCTTCGTTGAAATTTCGCAAACCACTGAACAGCGCAACAAAGCTGGTGACACTGGATACATCCCAATCCTCAATTGGTCCATAAGTGCTCTCGATGGTGGGTCGGTTGCCTGCACATGAGGCGGAGGCTAAGGTTTGAAGTTGGTGGGGGGTACTGCCAAGAAGGTCGCTTTGCTCCGGCATCTCCTAATGCCCCCAAAATTCCAAGAAAAGTTGCAGTCATGCCACTTGTGGCAATAGAATCACTTTCCCCGCTTGATTTGCCTCAACTCCTCTACAAACTGACTCCGGGAGAAGAATTGAGCCGTCTGAGCCAGACATGTTGATGTCATCGACATACCAACATGCTTTTTACATCTCTCCCAAGTCGTCCTCAAGTGACAGTGAGCATTGCTTCGCTTGTCGTTGTGTCTGGAGGCCTCTCCCCCCGCCCCGGCGAAGCTCTGAAAACTAGACTAGAGGCTATAGGTAACCTCTCGAATCTACAGCCTATCTCGTGATAGCGGAAGACACAGGTCCAGAATAATACATCCCAGAATACGACACCAAATGAAGGCGACATCCCAACGAAACGACAACACGAGCAGAGGACATCCCAATAAACTACAAAATGCTCAGAAACCAACGTGGAAAACACTGGGCCCGACAGCGCCCCTGTCTGTTCTCAAACAATTCTGAGTGTCTTTACGGCCTCTCAGTTGTGATTGTGAAAGAATGCTCTTCTGAGACCGAAAATGTCCGCGCCTGGATTGTTCTCCCAATCGATAAGGGTGCTTCGCAGCTCATCTCTGTCGCTGAAGGCACTGTAGCCTTCGGCGGAAAATAACTGCTGCACAAATAGCAGAATCACGATCTGCATGGCTGGGAAATGCAATTTTGCAAGACTAAAACCAAAATGGCTCCGGAATCAAATTGCTTCGAAAGGCTGCCGATACAGAAGAACACATGCGAAACCCTGCAAACCCCAAACCCTGAAATACATCGGCAGTCATTGTGCAAGGCTTTGCAGGTGAACCTCCGGCCGGGTATTATGCCTCCGTGAAAAACTGAAAGCCCCCTCGAGACCTTCTCCGTTGAACGAACAAGCCCTCTACGATACACTTTTTCTCACTACAGCCAAACAGTCACGAAACACACCACAATGCTCAGAAGCTGGGAAACAAACTAAGCACTTTAGCTACACAACAAAAATCTTCCACCTCCCACAGTTTGCTGAGGATTTGGGACACAACAAAATCAATGATGTTTGCTGACGCTACACCCGCCACTCTTTCGGAAGCGACTTCTGTACCCCTGCATGCCAGCGGAACGGCTCGAAAGCAAAAAGAACTAACGGCTGGACACACAGAAGCTCAACGTAGAAAACGCACGTTTGCCTCCGACTGTTGTGGCGCAGAGTGAAAACTCTGCTCAGCGTTGAGGCTGCCGCTTCGGTAGCAGGCTTANNAGCCTAAACGTGGTGTGGCCAGGAATCAGTAACATCTTTGCAGTCATCTGATTCACTACAAAAATTGACCGCACCGAAGACTTGCATCACGCACACACAACGCAAGATGAAAAGCAAATTGCAAATCAGAAATTAGGCTTTGGGACAAAAAAGCCAAGCAAGGGAAAATAAGCGCAAATAAGAAAAAACAAAGGCGAATTAGGAAAAGTGAAGGCAAATGAGACAAAATGCAAACAATAAAGAACGAGGAGATACAGGAAACTGGAGGGGAAGAAAGACCAAAGAAGAAAACTGAGGCAAAAAAAGAAAATAAAGGCAAATAAATTGCTCTTGCTATGCTTGAATGCAACAGA